GAATAGAGCGGTTACACACTTGAGTGAAAAAGGTTGAATAGAGCGGTTACACACTTGAGTGGAAAACGTTGAATAGAGCGGTTACACACTTGAGTTAAAAACGTTGAATAGAGCGGTTACACACTTGAGTTAAAAACGTTGAATAGAGCGGTTACACACTTACTAGTGCATACACTTACAGGTACCACTACGCGGTTAAATACATGCAGGTATTCGACTTGCTGTTGCACACATGATTTATTAGTGTACCTCGGCTTTATTTTGGTACAAAAATGTCTGCTTTTGTTCAGTACAGGGGGTAAAAATATCAGCAGGAAACACAACGTGTTTTGTAACATGACAATTCGGAAAATTCAGAAAAAGTTCTTCCCTCTTCGAATCGAGCGAGTTTGCTCGAGCAGCAGCCGTTTAGTTTGTCGCCCGGCGCGGCTGCTGCTGCTTCTATCTGCTCTCTGCTCGAGAGCCGTGGGATAGTTGCCAGTTGCCGCGTACAAGGGATTGGGGGCGGGTAGGCTGCGGCGGGGACGGGGTTCAGGAAGGGAAAAGGGGAGGAGGGGCGAGTCCTCTGTGGCCGCTGACTGTACTCTCGACTGCAACACGGATCTTGTCAGGAAGTTTGCCCAACTCCGCACCACTACATCCCTGCGCCCCCTGTGCCCCTGCGCCCCGCCCCGAGCGTGTTTTGTCTTTGCGCCGCGCGGTGCGGCGGTGGCGCCCCGCCCCGCCCCGCCCCGCCCCGCCTGAACGTGTCGCCGTGCCGTAATAAACGTCGGGCTGAGCGGCTGTTTTATGTCAGCACGGCGGCCTTACATTGTCTGGTATCTCCTTCTTCATGGTCAGCCATGAAGGCCGTGAGCCTCCAAGACATATAGGACCCGCCTTACGCGGCGGTGCGCATGCCGGCCGACGAGCCAGGAAGGCGATTATGTGACACCGGGGCTGGCATCTTTAGATAGTCCCCAAGACTGTCTCTACCAGAAGGGAACGTAAACCCTCCCTCCCCCCGCGCCTTCTCTACTTTTTCTCAGTTGGGTTTCGGCGTGGGCGGATTGGAGGTCGTTCTGGAAAATGGGATGATGTCGTATATGTTTCCTAATTATTAGATGCAAGTTGGTTGCATTTGGCGAGGTCTACGTTCTATTGTTGGGGTTCGGTTCTCTGCTGCAGCACTACAACACCGAGTCCCGCGGGCAGTACTCGCAGACCCGCCGGATGCGCACGGCCGCCGCCACGTTCCGCGGCTCGTGCCTCGAGGTGCTGCGCGCGCTCGCCTTCGGCCCCGGCTGCGGCGGCACGCACTTCGTGCGCTGCGTGCGCGCCAACGCCAACAACCAGCCGCGCGTCTTCCAGCAGGACCTGGTGCGCTCCCAGCTGCGCGCCCTCGCCGTCCTGGACACGGCGCGCGCCCGCCAGAAGGGCTACTCCACGCGCGTGCCCTTCGAGGAGTTCCTCCGGAGGTAAGAGCAGGCCAGACCGTCAACTTTTTACTTCAAAATTTGCGTAGTGACCCCTGTAGTTTTGTGCTGTTGTCCATTCATCAAGAACCTATTTTGAATACCCCAGAATAGTTTCGTAACACTTAAGAATCTCTTTAAAATATGCAACAGCTGAGTCCTTTAGTTTCTGTGAGACAAATTTTATTTGAAAAAGTTTACACTACTTGGAACTTGCAATGATTTTTTGGGCGTTGACCACCTCTGATGTGTAACGTGCGTTTCCAGATATCAGTTCCTGGCGTTCGACTTTGACGAGTCTGTCGAGATAACCAAGGACAACTGCCGCCTGCTCCTCATCCGACTCAAGATGGAGGGCTGGGTGTTGGGCAAGACCAAGGTGTTCCTGAAGTACTACCACGAGGAGTACCTGTCCAGGTCAGTATCTAGTGACATTGGCATTACTTTGGTAAGAATCCTGCCGGACCGCGTGCCGGACGCAGGACACAGTTGTTCGTCTGCGAGTGCGGACTCGAAAAACGCAAAGAATGTTGGTCCGGCTGGAGGAGGAGACGGGAATGTCGCCCCGATTGCGCCTCGGCCGCCTCAGCCTGCCCAGAGGTTTGGCCGACCGAGGACGCCAACAACATATTTTTTGTGTTACATTTGCTGTGATGCTCACAGGGTATGAGCGCGAACCTGCCTTTTTCTTCCATACTGCCCCTCCGGGGGGTGGAGGGCCACCACTGCAGGACAATCACAGATATGGGTGGGCCACGCTATGAAGTTGTGGAGAGATAGAGGTGGGAATACTGTGCTTGTGGGGCAGTTGTTTGTTCTGGCGTCGCCAAGGGAGAAGGGAACAGAAGGAGGAAGAGAGAAAGAGAGAAGGAAACGGGATGAAGCCGTCACGAGTCCTTTCAGCTGGGCTTCGAAAATCCAGCTTGCCATCCACTCTGGGGCAGAAGGGGTAGGAGTACAGTAAGAAACCTCGCATTGGTATCGTGAGCACACACGTGCACACGTACTCCCCTCCCCCCCTCCTCTCTCTTTCTCACTCTCTCTCTCTCTCTCTCTGTCTCTCTCTCTCTCTCTCTCTCTCTCTCTCTCTCTCTGTTAGTCCCTCTCCAGATATCTGTCCACGCCTCCCGGGCCGTGAAGAAGAAGAGGGGGAAGGGGGTGGGGGGAGGACCCAAACTCATTGCGGAGCCCCGGTCCAGAGGCTTACTGGTTCTCCAGACTGAAGCCCCGCCGGAGCCGGGCTGGAGCCCGAATATCACGCAGAGGGGGCGGGCTCAACGCGGAGAGAGGGTAGAGAGTGGGCGAGGAGAGGGAGGGGGGGAGGGGGTCACCCTAGAGCGAAGAGACCTCATGGCTTTTCCCCATAACTACTGTTGCTATGGGGCAGGCCCGAGGACAAAGCCTCAGACCTCCCCCTCCTCGTGCCTCGCTCTCCTGCCCTCCATTCTAGATAGCAGACACATCAAGCTCGGCGTTAATCATTAATCCGAGTTTTTTTTTCTTTCTCCGCCTCTTGCAGACTTTACGAGCAGCAGGTCAAGAAGATCGTCAAGGTGCAGTGTATGATGCGCGCCTTCCTCGCCAAGCGCAACATGCAGACCAAGCTCAAGAGGCTCAAGAGCCAGGATTCCGGTAACCGAGAGTCGTTTGACCTGGGCTAAGGCGGCGGTGTACGGAGGCGGTGTCGTCGGAGACGGTGTCCGGAGGCGGCGAGGCGCGATCCCTAGTGCTCTGTGCGCGCTGCGCCTCTTTAGCTGCTCACTGTTTAATTTTCATTTTTCGTTATTATCTTGATTACTGTTATAATTACCATTATTACCATTAGAGAGGGAGCGTGCACGCCCACCCGCCTGGCTGCGTGTAGATTTAATTTTGCCGCGCTGGGAGCGCCTCTCGGCCCGGAGGAGAGTGAGTGGGCGGATTTCACCTGACGACTATTGGCCGGTATGAGAAATTTGTCGACAAGCAAATGCGGGCTGCTCTGCCAGGCTCTGCCAGGCACGCTCACGCCCAGGCGCCGCCCTGTTCTCAGTATTATGGTGAAGAGTGTCGAGGGCTCCTGTTCGGTTTTCTAACTCTGTGCGCCGGCCACACGGCCTGTCAAAAGTTAAGTGCATTTTTTTTTTAAACAAGAAAAGAAACAGAAACTCATCGGAAAATTAATATGTGTCATTTAGATTGTTCAGCTCATGACTGCTTCTGTATGTGTCTTCTCCTTCTGCCTATCAGTCAGGCTTTCATAATTTAGAATGCTGAACCTTTGTTTTATATCGTTATTAGAAATCTCTTTCTTTGCCGAAATAATTATTTCCATAACTACCCTAAGGCATGTGTCTCTTACTATTTGCCTATCTGTGATTTTGCTGCTAATCTCTGCTCTATGCGTACTCGATTGTGATTTTTTTCGAGGCTTTTGTGTATTGCGTTATTCTTTTACCGGTAGCGACGATGAGAGTTATAATTATACAAACTAAACTACAGTGATATGCGTCCAACTTGTGATGTTCATATTCGTTTCTAGGAATGTACGATTCGATGTATGAATAAAAATTATCATACAGTTATATGATGAAAGTGTGTTTTCTCGACAGTACTGCTGCATTTTGTTTTTTTATATATCATTACGTGGCAAACAATAAACCAATTTCGGTGTCTTTCTTCCTTGTTCTTGGACTGAACGAATATAAACACAATCATGTTTGGAGCATTGAACTGTCTGTTTTGTATAGTTATAGCAATAGTAAATGAAATACTTACTGCATGTCATTCGTTGCACCCAAATTGGTCTTGTTTTCCGCCGTGAGATGAAAAACAAAAGGTTGGCTGTATGGCACCTCTCTTCCGCATTTTCCGCGGCTCCCTGCTTCAGCGATTGATTTCAGCTTCCATTATTTTTTTGTCGTATCGAGTCGACGGGGGACTGAATTGAATTCCCAGAGCTGCCGTCCCGGAGGCACGCGGCTCCCGCTACCTGTGTGCGGAACTCGATTGTGTGCCGCGGGTTCGGTATGAGCTCCAAGGGACGCCGGCGACACTGAGTTGGTGACAGTTTGGGGCCGGACAAGAGAGAGAAGGGGGGGGGGGGTAATGCAATGACCACAACTTGGTCGCGACCCGCGACGTCTGCACCGGGGCCGGTCCCTACTCTGTTTCAGTGACCAATAGAGGGGACGCCAAGAAGCTCGGCGCCAAGGCCGGCAGGGCCTCGGGCAAGCAGCAGCGCGCCGACCCAAAGGACCCCGCGCAGAACGAGGCCGCCACCGTCATCCAGCGGAGTGAGTACACGCGAAGCGACGGGAGGTGAAGGGGTGGGCCGTCGTGGTAACGAAAAATGCGACTTCTGCCATAGAAAGAAACCGAGCGCCGGTTTACTCTCTTTTTTTTATTGCTTTCACGCGCTGTAGTGTCCTGAACGTCCTCGACGCGAATGCGGTGCGGTATCACAAAGCCGCCCTTCTTTCTGTGAGAAAGGGACGCTTTTCGTCGCCGAGGGAGAGAGAACGAAAGAGTTCCGCGAGAGGACTCTTTTCAGCGCCTGCTGGGCTCCTCTTGCAGGTCTCCCCC